TCCCATGCATATTTTGTAGCTGAATATTGAAGTCCCTGACCCATTGTGTTTCGTGTTGGTTAGGCCGAAATGATGGAGAAGAGTGCAAGAAGGACCACATGGTTTTCGATTAGGGTTGGCAAAACGGGTCAACTCGGCTCGACCCGGCCCAATCCGCATTCAGTCCGAAAAAATGGGTCGGGTCAGGTTGGCTCGAAAAAAAAAATGAGCCCGAAAACTCAACTCGGCTCGACCCGAGCCGGGTTAGGGTTGGCTCGCGGGTTGGCTGGTAAAAAAGCTCACGGATTGGCTCAAAAAAAGCTCGCGAGTTAGCTCGAAATGATGCCAGTGGGTTGGCTCGCGGGTTGGTTAGCTCAAAATATTGGCTCGCGGGTTGGCTCAAAAAATTTAATTTTTGTGGTTTGTTCTCCTGTATAAAATTATTGTATTTTGCAGTCCAACTACAAGTAGAGTAGTTTACAAAATCCAAAAACATTAAATGAAACACAAACCTCTCCACGAATCACAGGAGTCAGTTATCATGATTTTCTGAATTACTCTAACTCACGATAACCATAAAACGTATATAAAGCCAAAAAATAAAAAATAAAAGAAATCCATTATATATTTCAACGATAAGCATCTAGAATCAAAAGCCAATTATGAAAAAAAAGGACCTGCAAAAGCGACCAATATAGTAAAGTCCATCAGTGGAGATTAATCCATCAGTAAAGTCTATTGTATTTTATTAAAAAAAAAATAAGAGTAACCCGCGAGCTGGCTAGTTTGAGCCCGGGTTGGCTCGGGTCGGGCTAAATCGAGCTGGCAGCTCATTTTTGCCAACCTAACCCAGCTCGTTTTGTGCGGGTTACGAGCCAACTCGTTTGCCACCCCTAGTTTCGATGTAGGTTTTCGTCGCTTTGCATGTTCCTAACAAGTTTAATGTATATATACTGGTTCTTTTGGGTATTTTGTAGGTTATTTTGGTCTTTTGTATGGGTTTTTTAAGGCACTTTCTATGATTTTTTGTACCTTAGAGTATTTTCTCGTGTATTTTATAGGGTATTCAATAAAGTATTTTCAGGTATATATATTATACAATTTTTTTGTACAGCATTTTGTATGGTATCTTAATAGTATTTTTGATTGCTTTTTTCATGCCGTATTTTGGATTTGGACTCTATTTTCAGAATGGGTAAACAATGGAAGAGTAAGTACCAGAACTTCAGAAGAAAAGTATACCTATACATGTGAAACAAGAGACATGCATTAATGCATACCTAAATTTTTGCATATCCTTGCAGTTTTTCTTTATTACAGTGAAACAAAATAAATTTTGAAAAGTCATTTGAATTTGTAATTATATAAGCTGACGGTAAAGTTTATAGAAATTTGTGTGATTTTGGGAAAGTTTTTTGCAATTCATTTGATTAAGGTTATTGAGATTTTATAATTTTTATATTTATATATAATTATATCAAGAAGTATTAACCTTTGTTTCATGATAAAAATTGATGATTCAATTTGTTGAACTTGTAATATAACAACATAAACCCTTTGTCTATCTCTTATTTCCAAAAATCATGTAGTCCATGATCATTTAATCTTTGATTTAATTATTAAATTATTTATACTTATCACTTGTTCTTACAAGTCAAATTAAGATGCTACAACACCTGCAAATTTTATATAATATGAAATTTGGACGTGAACCTCATATGTGTAACTTGAGATTAGGTCTCATATGCCTTAAAATATTTTGGATGAAGTTAAAAAATAGAAAAAAAGTTCGAGTCCATTTAAACAGATTTACGATTATATTTTAATAGATTTGATTAGCTTTAGACTCATTCAGTCACTTTTCTAAAAAATTTCCCTCAATCAATTTTGTGAATTATAATGTGCAATACCTGAATAATTGTCACCGCCATTGGATACCATATCTTAACAAAATCTTTAACATATTAAATTTATGGGTTATTTAATTATGAAATAGAATATTATATCTATTTTTTTATGTCTATTTATCTACTCATTTTTAATATTATTTGTTAAAATATCAAAAGATGAGAAAAAAATAAATTTTTTTTGAAAATTTGATATATCGATGTTATAAAAATAATAAATAAAATAAGAATAAAAAATATAAGTATAATATTTTATTCTTTTCTTTATATATATAAAATAGAGAAAAATATTTATCCTTTTAAATGACACAACTTATATCTTTTCACTTTCACAGGTGGGACCCCACCTTTATATTTTTTTGTTCACCCTTTTTTTTTTTATCTATCTCTTTCTTTTATTTAAAATGATATAATTTTATATCCTTTAAAATGATACACATTTTTTCTTATAAGATATTAATTTCAAATTCCGCCGCCTCTTTTGATGATAAAGAAATCCTCTGACACGGTTTGGTTGTCAATTGCCAGACAAGTCAGAGTAATAATAATCTTTTAAATTGAACGAAGACATTAGTATATTTTTAAGAGAAAGAATTTATTTATAAATTGTTTTTACAAATTAATAATAAGTATCATCCGTTATAGTTATACACTATTATTTAAAGAGGAAGGTTATAGTTACAACTTTTTTTTTTACAATCTCTTACAACCATATTTTATCACCGTTGATTTTCGTCAATCAACGGTTATCATTTATTGTGAATTAATAATTAATTAATGAGTTTAATTTGCTAAAATGATAATCGTTGATTGGCGAAAATCAACGGTGATAAGATATGGTTGTAAGAGGTTGTAAAAAAAAATGTTGTAACTATAACATTTCTCTTATTTAAATCCATAATGCTTAATATAGTTTGTAAGAGTTTATAATTAACAAATTTATAAATAAATATAATCTTTCTCTATTTTAAAATTTATAAAAGTAATAGTATGCATAAATCCCGAGGATGGAAAGGCTTTGATCAAAGGAGAAGATTTTTTGTGGGACGGGACCATAGTGGTTCCCCCTAAAAAAAAAAAAAAAAAAATAAGGATGGAGAGAAAAAAAAAAAAAAAAAGGTAGAAATGAAAGAAAAATTTCCATTTATAAAATAGGGACCACCGAATAAATGGTGGGTCTGGAGCATGTTAATTTTTTTCTGATCAAAGATGGTTTTTTTAGGGACCTAGGATTATAGATCTCTCATTCGAATTTTAAACAAACAATTTGGAATTAGTGATAAATTTTTTTACATCAATGGAAATTAGTCCGTTCAATTGAATAAGATATCATGGGAAATAAAAAAAAAAATTTGTATGCATACACATTTTACTAAATTAAAAGTGCCAACCTATATCAAATAATTGTAATTCAATTGACCCATAAAAGTTGGGCATGTGAGGATAAAAATATGTAATCAATTATTTTCAATATTATATTTGACATATCCTAGAGAAGCTGAAAAGCCTGTCAACCAACTCTACCTTGATCTTCTATTACAAGCACCGTCAAAGTTGAGCTTCAACCAATCAAAGGGAGGTGCAGTCCACCCATTTTGCGTCGCATGAGCAGTGTTGGGGTTACCTCGTTGCTTAGCTCTCAGGATATATATATCTTGGAGTTGGATATATAACTGAACACAATTTCTTGGGTGTTTTGCGGATATGGGAAAAGACTGGTTCATGAACTGTGCAATTCCTCCAAGACCATAAAAACCAGCTGCAGGAGGTAAAAAAATACATCTATCGATCCATTCTATATCTCTCTGCCTTGGTCTCAATTGCGTTGTAAATTATTGTATAACCAAGACGTTGAGTTACTGATAGTTTGGTAACCAAGTCTCCCACAATTTAACATGTTTTACGTAAAGCGCATCAACAAGATTATATTTGTTATTCAATTTTGGTAAGTTATAATTATGATTACGGGGAAGGATCCACTTACTACCAAAAAGTTTACAACTTTTACAACCAATTTAATTACCGTTGATTTTCGTCAATCTAACAGTTATAATTTATTGGAAATTAATAAATGTGACACAATAAATGCTATTAATTTTCAATAAATTATAACCGGTAGATTGACGGAAATCAACGGTGATTAAATTGGTTGTAAGAGTTGTAAATTTTTTTGGTGGTAAGTGGATCTGTTCCCTATAATTATAAATAATTTTTTTACAAATAAATTTCGATTAATTTGATTAACTTCATTCACCTAAAATTTGCTTTCTTTGTCATCTTTGATCAATTTAGTCTCAGGTTGTTGTTGGCCTTTTATTCAATTTCATTTACCGTAAATTTTCTCCGTTACCGTTTTTCAAGTAATACATTTTTCTATATGTTTAGTTTTCCCAAAAGATAATACGGGAAAATGGTATAAAATAAGGGGAAAGTGTGTGTCATTTTAAGATAGAGAAAGAGATAGATAAAGAAGGAGGGAGAGTTGACAAAAAAAATAAAGGTATGGGTCTCACCTCTTTGTGAGAGTGAAAGAATATAAATTGTGTCATTTAAAACACTTTTTTGATAAAATAATGCGTGAAGGCTTGAAATCAATTCTATCATACTAGAATTTCACATCAGCTGTGATGTGAAAATTTTATGTTTAAGTTTCATTTATTTAAGGTTTATGAAATGAGGATTAATACAAATTTTTTTAATATAAAATCACGTGATGAAATTTAAAAATTGGGATGATCCATTTATGTAATTTTGTTTTTCAAAGTAGAAGTGCCCCCTGTACGAGAAAGACCTGTCCCAGCTATCTACCTTATTAATGGGACTTTTTAATCTTTTGTTTTCCGAAAGAACGTAATAAGGGACAAAGTAATAAAAAATGGGAAAAATAATTGGTATATTTAAAGCCCCGCCCCATATGCCTAGCGGGCCCACTTATCTGTCTAATTAATGTAACCTTTCAGATAAATTAAATGAACGAGTATATTTATATTTAAAAAATTTAATAAGTTAAGATTATAATATATCATTAAATTAATATATCTTATAGGCTAACTTATTTCAACATTATTATATATATGATGTCTTATATAAATAATTAACTTCTGTTTAGATGCATTCACCGTAAATCACAGAACAAGACAGAGGAAGATGGAAGGTGCAGCAGAGGTTGCAAATGGAAACGGCTCATTGAACTTGAAGCCAAGTGATACCAAGGGAAAGATCATTACTTGCAAAGGTAACGTAACGCATAAATTAAGTTCAAACCATTATTAATATATCTCATACATATATATGTACTTGCTGCATATTTAACCATATGCATGCTAATTTCTCATTCTGCTTGTTCTTGATCTTGATTATATTAATTAAACATGATCATCTGAATAAATGGGTGTATTAATTATTAGCTGCTGTGGCATATGGTCCGGGAGAACCCTTCGTGGTGGAACAAGTTCTTGTTCATCCACCTCAGAAAATGGAGGTTCGAATCAAGATTCTCTATACTTCTATTTGTCACACCGATCTCAGTGCTTGGCGAGGCGAGGTATATATACATCTATATATATTATGGGATATGATATTATGACAATCAAATAATGTTACTACCACATCTTAACCGTTGATTACCATATCTTAATCGTTAATTTCCGTCAATCAACGGTTAAGATGTGGTAGTAACATTGGTAGTAACATTATTTGGTTGTCATAATATCTTATCCCATATATTATATGCATATATGATCTATTATAATTGAAACCATATTATAAATTTATCTTATAGTTTTTATTTATTTTTGTGATTTGCCAAAGAATGAGTCTCAACGTGCTTTTCCACGAATTTTTGGCCATGAAGCTTCCGGGTATGACATAAAAAACTTGATATGGTTGTGATAAATTTGAGTGATTAATTAAAATATATATGAATTAGTGAAGTGATGGAATTGAACTTGCAGGGTTGTGGAGAGCGTTGGGGAAGGTGTGAATGACATGGAAGAAGGGGTCATGGTGGTGCTAATATTCAATGGTGAATGCGGTGAGTGTAGCTATTGCAAGTGCGAGTTAACAAACATGTGTGAGAGGTTTGGTGTGAACCCAATGAAGAAAGTTATGGATGGTGATGGCACAAGCAGATTCTCAACCATTAACGGCAAACCCATCTTCCATTTCTTGAACACCTCAACCTTCACGGAGTACACGGTGGTTGACTCAGCATGCGTTGTTAAGCTCCACCGTGACCTCACCCTCAGCCTCAAAAACCTCACCTTGCTCAGTTGCGGTGTATCCACAGGTATGTATCTACCTTGATCAAATTCAAACACAAATTCCAGAGATATTCAAGTGTGATAAATTTCACATTAGTTAATAGTGGCATAAGTTGATATATATATACATAAGTATGATAACTCATGAACCCGAGGCCTTAAGATTTTCGATTAAGATATAATGTCAGATCCACTTGATATGGTGACCTAGCTTAACTCATTGGTGATATCCTCCATCATGGGCTTACCTCCTGATAGTGGTATCAGAGTCGGATTGGATTCAGGCTAGCCAGAAGCTAAATATTTGACTAGAGACGGGTTGAGTACTTTGAACCTAAGTACTCAGTTGAGAAACCATGAATCCAATACCACACAAACTTTTAAATTTATCAAAGCGGGTATGGGTTTAAGAATAAAAAAATTATATTTAATATTAATTATTGATCTATGCTGATTCACATAACTAAAGAATTAAAGTCATCAAATCCACCTATATTCAATAACTCAAGTAATTAAAGAATTCGAGTCATTACATATAAATGAGATCAATAATTAAAATTAAGAATATAACTTATATTGGAAGTATAAAATAATATGATTTATATAGAGTTTACTGTCTCTTATGTTGTAAAAAATAAAATTATTTCGCACATATAAAAATATATAGAGCCCATATATATATATAAATTTTATTTTCTATGACATAAAAAAAACATCAAAGTCATCTATATATAGATAGATATTAAGTGCAAACATAAGAAAATAAAATTAATCATTTAATTATACGTTTTCTGTCGCATGTATGTGTAGGGTTCTTGGATTTCGTGTGGGGTGGGGGGTTGATTTTCAACGGTCAAACATTTACCCGAATGTTGTTAATCTTAAGAGGTCTTCCATTTATATAGAATTGATGAATATATTAAAAATAGGAAAAAATGTTTGTTATTTAAATGACATAATTTATATCTTTTCACTCTCACAAAGAGGTGAGACCCACATCGTTATTTTTTTCTGACCACTCTCTCTCCTCCTTTAATTTATCTATCTCTTTCTCTCGCTTAAAATGACACAATTTTACCTCCTTTAAAAATATACACATTTTTCCTTTAAAAATATGAGAAGCAAAATAAAATAGACCCGGTCAACAACGATAAAAGATAGAAAATTTACTTTTCAAATTTTGATTATAATATTTGACTTGAAATTTTTTTAATTTTATAAGATAAAATTGTCTATTATGCTTACCCTTTGTGTGTCTGAGCTACCTATGGACCATCATCGGCGTTTACCACAAAAAATAATATACAGTAGACCCAGAAAAGAAGGAAACAAATAAAGAAGTTCATTGAGAAAACGGAATTTTGTCCTGTGTTATGAAACTTGCAACTTCAAGTATCAACTTGTGTTTGTCTGTTTGTTTCCAACTTTTCTTAGCAAAGAAAAAGTCTCCACTTTTTGTTTTTTATTTTATTTTTATTTTGAAAACGAAATAAAAGCTAAGGATGGAGTATTATGTGGGCCAGATATATGACCCCTGTTTTGTACAATTACTTAAGACAGTAACCACTAACCAGTCAACCTCATATATCTAGAAGGGTAATTAATGATAATGTTGTTTAAACAATTAGTTCCATTCAAAACATGTAAGATTTTGGTGAATAACGGAATTTTTTACATTAATATTACATTCAAGTCTTAATGATGTGAGCATGACATTTTTTCTACCTAAGAAACTGTGTTTGAAAATAACTCTAGTTGATAAGCAAGTAACTTGAGTAATATCAAAGGATTTTATCTTTATCATTTAACATAATATAATTTCACTTTCTTACACACACATTAAAGAGGTGGGGTCCACATGTTTTTCTTTCTCTTTCATTATTTCACTTTTTCTCTCCCTTTTGATGTGAGAGTTGAAAACAACACTTACATTATGTTACATAACACTAATAAAACCCAATATCAAATTAAAGTGAAATATAAAAATATAATTTTTTGTTGGTAAACTATAAAAATATAAATTTAAAAAATATTTAAAATTATAAAAATATGAAAAATTAATTTAAAATTTTAAATTCAAAATTTAGAAAATTAACAATACATGTATCATATTTTTATTGTTTAAAAATATTTTTTAATTTTATATATAAATGAAGATTTAGTTATATAAACTCAAATATAATGTGATTGTGTATTGAATTCTGATAACATGTCAGTGATGTTAAATAGATGTGATTGTGAATTATTGAAACTGAATAAAATGTAGGAGTTGGAGCTGCTTGGAATACTGCTAATGTACATTCAGGTTCATCTGTGGCAGTCTTTGGTTTAGGTGCTGTTGGTCTCGCTGTAAGTTTTCTCATTTTCTAGAACCCTTCTTAATTGCTATTTATCAATGGAAAAAAGGTGTATCATTTTAAATGACATACCTTATATTCTTTCACTCTCACAAAGAGGTAAGATCCATATCTTTAAAAAAAATTTCTCCGACTCTCTTTCATGATTTATCTCTTTCTCTCATTTAAAATAACATAACTTTATATCCTTCGAAATAATATACACTTTCCCTTTTATTAATACATCCCTATCCCATATTTATATTTCTTTCTCATTAGTTCTCCGTGTGTTCGCCCTTTTGTTTGATTCTAATGGGACAAAACATTAGAATAGTGCTGAACCAAAAAAGGAAATTCATCGAAAATGTCTGAAATTTCAGTAATAAGAGAAAATCTGTGGACCCAATAAAATTGAATAATAAATTAATGATTTTGGCACAACTAAAATAGGGTATATACCCAAAAGTTGATGGTCCTAAGCTATTTGATCTGCCTAAAAGGGTTTATTCAATTCGTGAGAATCATAATTCAGAGAATAAACAGGTTCAAATTCGAAATCAAATTACTCGAATCCATTTAGATTTTGGACACTTGAATAGTATTTAAAAAAAAATAAAGTATTTAGGAGAGAAATACTGAATCTAGAAGTCACCTCTCTATTGTTTGACACTCTTTTCTTTCAGATGAGTCAGCTGAAAAAAAATTTCAAGCCTTTAATCTATGTCACCTATCATTAAGAAACTACACGGCATCAAAATCCAAATAGAGACGGTAAACGGCAACAACTACAATAAAAGTCCTTTTTTCTTTTAAGTGGAGCTAGTTATATGTATTAAAAAAGTTATTAGATTTTGCCAAAAATTAAATATTCATAAAGGTCATTTAAATTTAAGTATTTTTCTTAATTTTTATTTTTTGCGTTATCATCAATTTCTCTTATTAAAACCTCTAGATGGGTAATTTTATATTGGACATGGCTCAGGTTGCAGAAGGGGCACGAGCCAGAGGTGCATCCAAAATAATAGGTGTGGACATCAACAAAGACAAACTTATTAAAGGTAACTTATTCATTCTGAAAGTGGTATTAATTATAATGTTAATCTCCTTAATTGATTGAAAGTTAGGATTAAAAAAGGAACTTTGTTGTGAAAGGTTTACCCACTTAATGTGATCTTCCGCCTCGAAAGAATTAGTCTTCGACTGTCGGCTGGAGGATACCTTGGGAAACCAAAAAAAAAAAACTTTAAAAGCTTTACTTATAATATAATGAGGTACATAATACATTTTCTTTGTGCTCAAAGCCCAAGCAATGGGAATCACAGACTTCATAAATCCAAGGGATGAAGAGAAGCCCGTATATGAGGTTGGTGTTTTCTGTCTTCCATGTCCTCTCATTTCTCAAAAGAAAAATATCATATACACATGCGTTTTCATTAGCAAAATGATAAATTTATTTGCAGAGAATCAGAGAAATGACTGGAGGAGGTGTACACTACAGTTTTGAATGTACTGGAAACTTGGATGTTCTAAGGGATGCCTTCTTGTCTGCTCATGCGGTATAATTTCATTGCCATAATTAATATTTCAACAATCCTTTCTAAACTTCATCCCCATTTGAAAGCAAAGATCAATTTCTAACTCATTACAGCCGATCTTTACTAATTAAAAATCATTCATTACCTTACACTTTAAAATTTGATGTCAATTTTTGGAATGCAGGGTTGGGGATTGACTGTAGTATTGGGAATTCATGGAACACCAAAGATGCTTCCCATCCACCCAATGGAACTCTTCGATGGTCGCAGAATTGTAGGATCAGTTTTTGGAGGTTTCAAAGGGAAAAGTCAGTTACCTCATTTTGCCAGAGAATGCATACAAGGAGTAATGATCACCACTACTTGCATATTCTTTAAAAAAAAATCAAAATTTTGTTTATTGTCTATTACTTATTTGTTATGGCATTAACATTTTAGGTGGTGAAGCTGGATAATTTCATCACTCACGAGCTTCCCTTCGAGGAGATAAACAAAGCCTTCGATCTTTTGGTCAGTGGGAAGTCACTGAGATGTCTTCTGCACCTCTAAAAATGATGCCCCTTTAGAATGGCTTTGTTCATTTAGATAGAGCGCTCTCCCCCGTTTTATAATGACTTGAATTATGCTAGAGTTTATCTAAATATGAATATGTAATGACCAGTAAGGTGTTATTGGTGCTTTTGAACATACCTTATACTGCATTATCTCACTGTATATGAAAGTGTGAATAAGTGGAAGTGTACTCACTCAGGTTTGTACATCTTCCTACATGTTGCACTAGTGTGCTGTACTGCTATTTCTTTTTCTTTATTTCTTTGCACCCTGTAAATAATAACTCTAACTGTAGTTGGTTAAGAACAAAACAACAATCATTCAGATACCACTATATGAACAGATGTAAAAGGTTGTGCACAAAGGAGTTTAAAGAACAACCATTTTTTCATATTCTATCACCAAGTTGGGTAGGTACAACATCCCCGAAAAATTAAATCTAATGAAGAATTCATCAAAAGAATATAGCATTTACAGCGCACCAAGCAAAAACATATATTCTACAAAATTCTCAGCCAACGGATACAGAAACATTGGCTGCGGACAATTAGCATCACTGCTGGCAGATAGGCTAAATCAATTCCCACAAATAATGAAAAGTTCTATATGGAGTATTAATTCCAAAAAAATTTCAAGGGAGGAAAAATGGCCAAAACAATATGAATCCGAAGTTTACTTTCATTGATTGTTGATATTCTTTTGTTTGTTGCGGTTTTCCTCTGTAATTGTTTGAAACTCTTTCTCACTAGCTGCAATTAGGCGCTTAACAATGTCATATGTGGTAAGCTTGATGCTGTGGAGAGAAACAAGGGAGAGATAAGAAATAATGATCAGAAAGCATAAAAAGTTTAGGTGACACGAATGAAAATCTGGATAAGGTAAAACATCTAAGCATTGCAAAAAGGTAACAGTCAACACATCATAATCTTATTTCTGTAAAAAGTAGAATATCACAGGAACCTGCTATTTGGTAGGGTTTTTAGGGCATTGGGCACAAATCCCCGATACAAACCATTGACTCCATCTCGTGCCACAATACCTGCATTAACAAAAGTATAAATTTGGTAAAAGCGCAACCTACAGAAGCATTAAAAAATAAAAATTCCCTTCGTTTAAATAAATTCCAATGTTATGGTCAGCTGATTTTAGTTTGAAGGGAATCGGTAGGGCACAAACTAATTCATGCTTGTCTTCACTAAACAAAGACAATCAGACACATTAACTGCATGCCTCAGCAAACAGCTACAAAGTTCCCCTCATATGTTATAATACAATAATTCAAATAACTTACCATCAAGTGCACCCTCCCAGCATTGCTAAATGTATCAATACCATTGTGTTACATTACAATCATGATTATAAACATATTGGGTAACCTTTTAGGTATTATAATTCTTATAGAATTCAAATGTTATGAATAAGAAGTTGAGTGTAAAGAGATGTGCCTTTTCCCTGTCGAACAGACATAACCATTCATTGGTGAGCTGATACGATTCTTCACCGCCAAACAGGCACCCTTCATGTCTAGTCATGGTTTATAAATATAAAAGGAAATCAGAAAAAACCGGTTACTTTTTTTATTTCTCTCCTTTACCGAAACTTTGCCAAAACGTTTTTGAAATCTTTGTATTCATTATGCATTCACTTTGTGTGGTAGTTCAAACAAAGGTTGCATCCGCCGGTGCTGTTTGTTCAAGAGTGCTGTCAACAAACAGAGGTAATCCGTTGTATCCTGGGAGACAATTGTCATTCACTCTTAGGCACTATAGAGAGGGCAAATTATCTTAAAGACACAGTGTCTAATAATGAGCTCAGATTTTATTCTTTCATTTTACTATTAGTTTGCATCGTTTATCTGTTCATCAATTTCATTATTGATTGCTTGGTTGCATCCACTCTTCAAACACAGATTTCCCCCATTTTTCTATTTGTGTGCATCTAACCCTAACATCAGATTAAGAAGTAAAGAACAACAGCGGTAGACATACAAATACAATGGTTGACCTCAGCCTGTTAAAGCAACCCTCAATAAGAGTATTGATTCCCCCCAATTCCTATCTATACTAAGGGATAATTTTACAGTGGAATGATCGACTTAACTGGTTTCATCAAATAGAAAAGTATTCAGTTAAGAATTGGAAGATTCTGAATATATTGTATTCTACATGTGTGCTTAAAAAAGGGCAAATCCAGGTGCATAAGCTCCCCGACTTGCGACGATAGAGATGAGGGTCGATTGTACACAGCCTTAACTTGCAGTTTTGCACAGAGGCTATTTCCTCAACTCAAACTTGTTACTTTTCCGTCACAAGGAGCAACCTTACCGCTGCTCCAAGGCTTGCTCTCACATGTCAAATTAAGGAGTAATAATTCAAGGCACCAATAAGGTGACTTAACTACTGCAGCTACAATCCTAATAACTGTGAGCCAAAGAATAGGAGCAGGATCTTATAAAAAATGTTACAACACACAAGCCAGAGTTTTTAATATATTTGTCACTAACGTGCACACAAATCAAGTATGTGTGGGTGACTATAAATTGCTGAAGCAAAAAAGTAAACAGGAGTAATCCTCACCTGAAATAGCATCTAATATTGTCTTATAAGGTGTACCCTTCAATTGCATCTGTCTTCGCACAGTGTCCAGAGGATAGCATGTAAGTGTGGCCAGAGATGCCGAAAGCACAGCAGTGAGTATAGATGTTTCAGTTCTCTTTTGATATTTCTCAGGCAACGACTTCTTTAATCTATCATCCATAGAAGGTCAGGATGTTTCAATGTCCAGGTCCATTGTCCAACAATTTATTTAAAAGAGAAAATTATTAATGAACTTACAAGTCAAAAACACAAAAGTTCACTGCAATATAAGGAGCTATTGCAATAAGAGAAGGCCCAAGGCCTCTGTAAAAAGATGCAAACCCTTCTTCCCTTAGCATGCTCAAGGCAACCTGTAAAAGCAACAATATGGTTCATCTTCATAGACGCAGATCTTGCTTAAATACTAAATTAGTTCAATCATACCTCTGACATGGTTCGATAACCAGGTTCGACAGCTAACCGTAATCTCAGAACATCTAATGGGTAGGTTATCTAAATGGATATAAAAAAAGTTAGTTACATAGATGAACATTAATAAAAGATATGAACTGGACATAAAGGATATGAAAATATTAGTTTACAAAAAAGAAATTGCGTACAGGTATTAACTGTATTATATAATTACCTATAACAAAACACAAACACCACCAAACCAATGAAACCATAAAAGCAAGGGCCCCCCAAATCGATTACTTACAAAAGTGGATGTCATGCCAGCAAAAGCACCTGCTGTAAGTCTTCCCACAACAGAGAGCTCACCATTCTGTTCCCTGAATATTTTCTGTAAATCCAAAAGTAGAGCTTCAGACAAGAACAGTTAATAGTTGCTATGAGAATTTCTAAAAATATAGTTATGGGTAACCTTATAAATTTCATAAGCAAAGAGCTGGACAGCACTATAAGGTATGACCCGAATCACCTGGAACATTAAAGAAGCACTAAAACAAATGAAAAGACTAGTCAATATTATAAGGAGATATAATTACAGAAATACCATTACATTCTTCCTGAATTGTACTGACCTGGGGGAGGTTGCCCTTCCAGTAACCTTTAATGCCTTCTTCCTTCCCTATAAATGTTATGGCCTACAATTTACGTTCATGTAAGATCCAACAAAAAAAAAATTTATAACATTTAGATCAGAGAGCTTAGTACATATAAGATGAGTAAAAACAAGATCATCAAACAAAGAGATTGGAGAGGCAAATAAACTACATTTAGTCATTAATATGCGATGTGTAAATATAAATCCTTAATAACACGAGGTAATTAACCATGAAAGTAACCTTCTATTACAATTAGTAAGCTGGCAATCTTTACACACAGAACTTGCCAATTTCCTTTTCTAAAGATGGCTACAATTACAAGACAGCACCATCAAGAGCAAATATTCTAACCTACACCATAAATTATGAAATATCAATTACAACCAGCAACATTCATATAATGTTTAAAGCATTTGCAAACACAATTATTATGCAACCACCTTGTTCCAGTTTCAACAAAAAAGGACTTTCATCTATTGGTAATACGTTCAATATTTAATTAAGGTAATGGAGTCTGTGAGGCAGGTATGAAACTTCTCACGTACCTCAAATTTTCTTCCTTGCCACATTTCTTTTAGAGATATATAAAACTATTAATGTAACTGATGCACTTACAGTTGGCCCATTGCACATGGCCCAACCATTGACTCAAGAAGTTCAAAGTCAACCAGAGTTGTGGCCCAATAAGTATGGCCCAAATGTTGAAAGAAGCAGTGATTTAAAATATAACAAATTACGATCAAATCCAAGTCCCAATAAAGTAGCAGATATGATTTTGATTTATTTGGCAAGAAAAGGAAAGCAACACATTTCGCGTGATTTGAGATATAAGATTTGTGATGTATTTTGAATGATTTAATTGTAATTAATTATTTATTTTTAGAAGCTAATTACTGTTATATCTATTTTAGGAAGTTTTCTTATTTTTAGGATTTTAGATTTTTGAATTTTGAATCAAAATTGTAATTAGTCTATAAAAAGGTGCTTATGACCTTTATTCTAGGAGTTGAATTTTGTTAATTTAATAGAAATTGAGAGCCGGAGGGTTACTCTTTTGTGAAAATCTCAACTTTCTGTTAGCCACTTTTCTATGCACTTTCGACATCAGTAACCTCACCCACAACTTAAGCTTTTGGGTTGAATTGGTTTCTTACAAGGTATTAGAGCCTTAATGTCATGGATTCGATCCTCACTGCCCCCCATTTAATTAATAATTAATTAAATTTTGTAGAGTTTCTTAGTACAGGTAGGTGGGCCTATGCATTGTCCACCCTTCAAGCCCAGTGGGCTCTCGTGTGAAGGGGCATGTTAGAGATATATAAAACCATTAATGTAACCTCACACACAACTTAAGCTTTTGGGTTGAATTGGTTCTTTACAATTTCTTTTAGTTTATTTTATTTCAAGTTTGTGAGATATAAAATCATTAATGTGCTTTACCAAACAGCTTAAGCTGTTCAGATAGTTGGTTCTTACATGGTATTAAAGCCAATAAAATCATGTAGTCTAGAGTTCTATCCTCGTTTCTCCCATTCTACTAAATTTATTTTTAAAAAAAGAAGATAATTTTCAGCACAAGTAGGATAAGCCTGTTCATTGTCCACACTTCAAAGCCCACTGAATTCTTGCATGAGAGAGTACGTTAGATATAAGGTCATTCATGTGCTTTTAACCAACAACTTAAGCTTGTGGGATCAAGGTTGTCAAACTTGAGAGTATACGCAAACTCGTTAAGTGTTCACCCAATACAAAAATAATATTTAAAAACATTTATACCATTGCCCTGAAAATCTGCCCCATGTTCCCCCCAATATCAGTCCCATTTCCAAGAGCTTTTTCCCTAGTTTTAGAAGTAGAAACTTTGAAGCATGAGGACCTTGACCCACAAGGTTCAGACAATATATAATGGGGAGAACTTAAAATAAGCTAGAGGCAACCAATAAACCAAGAACCAACAATCCACAAATCACAAGATGGGTTGAAAGAACAGTACACAGCAAGTTCAAAATTTAACGAACAGAACACAGCCACCATCCCACAGGTTGACCCGCCCTAAACCCGCCTACATACGAGGTGGGTTGTGTTGGGTTGGCAGGTTGAGATATACAACCCAACCTGCCCCATATTGGCGGGTTGGTGGGTTGACCTGTCAGATTCAACCTGTTTTGCCAAATCTACACAACGGGTTTGAAATTGAAAGAACATAACACAAACAGGATGTTAGTTCGAAATGGACCTGGAGTTCACGACAGAATGAGGACAGGTTCACGAAAGATTTATAGAAGATGAAGCTGGGTTCACAATGTGTTGAAGATGGCTTGATGCTGGATTCACAATGGCTTTAGTGTCAATGGCTTATATTGATTTGCAGAAAAAGAACGCTCAGCTCTGATGGGTTTGTTCATGCTGAGCTGTGACTAAAACGATTGAGTGACCAGTTTGTTCACGATGTGTTCTGTCTCACGTCTTCAGTCCAGTGCCCTAATAGAAAACTGCAAGCTAAGATGCAATTTGCATTTTCTTGGCAACATTGTCATTTTGGCAATTGGGTGTAGGTATTTGGCCTTCTTTTAAACTCGTTCACTCACCCATAAATTCGCGATTTTGTGCGAGATTGAACAATTCTACTTGAGTCCACCAGTGTTTGAGGAAACAAGTTTTAACGTGTGTCAACTCAATTTCCCTACCTAGAATCGTAAACTCATTCGATTCTATGAAATAACTCAAGAGTTTGACAACCATGTTTGGGAATTGGAATAGTTAGTTCGTGACAAAGTTAGCAGTTGGAGGGAAGCTGGGAAGGATCATCCCTAAGAGCTAGAATTCTCTTATACTAATAAGACAGCACTTGCCATGGATGATACAATTCAATAACACAAAAACTTATTTCTAGAAGGCTAATCTTGTTCCAATCATTTGAGAAAAGCCCTTTTTCTTTGTCATTAATGAAATTTGATATACAAGTTATAAAATCTCATCTCTTTCAGTCTGATATGGCAGATTTTTTTTTCTTTTAACCCGTACATACAGCTTTTAAAGGTATCTACAAGAAAGGTATTAGTAGTGGTCAATGAATAGCCCAGTAGTAGCAAAAAACTTAACCATATCGAGTGAGTGAAAAACAATAAATAAAAGAACACTCCTCATATCCCAATTCCCAAATAGATACAAAGCTATTCAAGTTTTAGGCCAAAAGAAGGGTGTAAGGGAAGTACTGAAGTAGATCATTATAATATAGTACAACGAGAACAACTTACACATCTACAACTTCAGGTCAAACATCACACTCTTGAATCTCCAGATTGAAACAAATAGAAGAACAAAACCGTTCAACACATAACAAATTAGGATGGAAGAAATGAAAAAGCTTGAAAATTACCTCAATGAAACCCATTGCCTTCTTAGCACTTTCTTGCCCAACCCGCACACCATGAGTCTGCAAATACACAGTGAGTGTTTGATTTTTACTAATTAAAAACTTCTCTGCAACCTTTTGAATATTAGAGGGTGTTTGGTTTCTTTTTTGTTTTCATTTTCAGTTTATATGTTTTCATTGATAATTAAAAAAAAAATTCTTTTTTGTTTTCAATTTTGTTTCCCGTTTACGAAATTTTGCTAAGGAATCGATAACCAAAAAAAAATAAAAAAATTCCTTGTTTTCAACATTTGATTAATTATAAACTCCCACTGCAACATTTTGATCATATGTTTTTCCTAAACGCAAAGTAAACCATGGCCAAACATGCACATAAAGACTAGACAACTTCTACATAGAAATAAATCATTTATGAATAAAAATTAATAATAAGCTTTTTTTTTTCTTTTTTCTTTTCCACATTTCTTATACAACTCTTTAAAATGAGACATCACATGATTTTATTAACAAGATTAAACGCCTGCGTTTGGGTTATAGTTTCAATTAACAAGTTGTTAAAGTTCAATTACAAGTTTGTAAGAAGTTAGTTGCTGTAGTTACAAGTTCAGTTAGTTACCATCAAATTCTACATTAAAAATTAAAAAAGAAAAAAAAAAAGAGCATTATCCGCACCTGCATGAGGAGCTTGATCCGGTCGAGCGGCGCCGTGACGGTCTTGCCAGCGGCTCCGGCGATGGCGCCGGCGGAGAACAGAGCGGCGTCTCTGGGAACGAAGGCCACAGCTGCCAGCGGGTGCTTGAGGAGCTGAGACAGCGTCGGCATGAAATCGTGATGCAGTTTCGTTTCCGCCACCGAGACACACGCGAACTTACATTCGGCGGCGGCGGAGGAGGAGAAACTGAGGGTGGCGTTGTGGCGGAGCGGAACGACGCCGTTTTTGAGGTGGGGGATTTTGCGCCATGAGAGTAGAGCTCTCTCCTCTCTAGCTGACATTGAAATAGACATTTGAAGTGGCGGAGAGGAGATAAGGCGCTAGAGGAGAAGGAGGGTTGGGTTTAAAAACCTTACTCCTACGAATAAACCCAATTTTTTTTTTAATAATCTCATATGTATCATCTTTTGGTGGCTAGGCTTTGATTTAAATAGATGTGTAAAAGATCTTACACTTGGCCTGACCTGTTAGTCTTGTATAGACTTAAATTATAAGTCTAGTCTGACTTATATTTAAAAAAAAAATATGATACATGCACCGGCTTGTAGACTTATAGGTCCGACATATATAAAAAAAACGCATGACTTGCTTTCTAAATAAGTTTTTTTAAAGGGTTTTATAATTCTCATTCAACATGAGAATTCAAATTTTCCTACACACCCTTCGATTTTCGTGCTGACATGGGTCCTACATATAATTTTTTCTAACACATGGGTCCCACATGTTTTTTATCTCTACAACATGAGAATTGAATTCTCATTCAACATGAGAAAATCAAACCCCTTTTTTAAAAGCATTAATATAAGTTAGGTAATAGGTCTCTGTATGCCGACGTAATCAATTTACACCCTAATCCTTCAGTCGTAACCGAAAATTAATCCCCATTGAGCATTGTTGGATATTTTCAGAGCGGCTATCTGAAATTCTTTTTTTTTTTTTTCATTCATAGAACTCGAACTCAAAACCTCTGGTTAAAGAGCCCAAACTCCTTATCGCCTGTATCAAAAAAAGTTTGATAATTGTTTAACCAATAAGAAAAAAAAACACAAATATTAAACTATATTATAGGTGAAACTTGAAAGAAACACAAATAATAAGTTAAAATATTAAATGCACTAGTTGATGTAAAAATTTGGCGTACTTTTTTATTGTTATTATTAAAAAAAAAAAAAAGATGATATATTGTATTTTTGAACTATGAAAATAGGTTTTTGTTTTTATTTTAGAATTTTATTTAATATATAATTGACTTAGAGTTTGCCATCGCCGGAGGATCACGGGTGATTTTTTATCACTATCTAGCAGTCCGATTGTGGGAGCCCAACTTCCGACCATATCACGGCTTGGATGAGACTACCAGAGATCCCAGAGCTATTTGCCACAGAAGTGATTAAGGCAATAGGTAATTGGTTTGGAAAATTCAATAGGGTGGACAGAATTTTGGCTTGGAAAATTCATTAGGGTGGACACAACTACAACTACTCTAGCCAGGGGGCAGATTTGCCAGAGTGTGGGTGGGGGTGGATTTAACCAAGCCTCTTCCAGGAGAATATGTACGGCAAAAAAATTAAAATAATATTTTTTAATTAAATAATTATGTATTTATTGCAGTTTTGAGAATAATTATGGATGTATTGTACAATGTGACGTCTCTTTTGGGCGTCACATGTAACGTCCCATTGAGGCGTCTCACCCTAAGGAGAAACGCCCAAAAGGGGCGTCACATGTATGTGTGCCCTATATATACCTCTACCCCTCCGTTCACTCTTCACATCTCTTCTCTCACTCTTCATATCTCTCTTCTCTACCAAAATTCCTTTAATTTAATATTTGAATTTTATTTCTTATACTATTTAAGAATGAGTTCACATCCTAATTCTGTTCGAGTTGTGTTATATTACAATGGTAGGAAGGTAGAAGGTCGACGAGGTGTCATATTTGAAGGTGAAAAAAGGCCAACACGTATTCAACGCAATGCAACCATTGGCGAACTACATAAGAGAATTCGACAAAAGTTAAGTCTTCAAGGCAACCAATGTATCACTCAGATCACGACAAGGTTATGACAATGTGATAAATACATTAGTTTGCAAGTGGTTGACGATGAAGACGTGGAGATGACAATGGAAGAATTTTTCAGCCAGTCAAGGACAGATTTTCTGGAGTTGTATGTCGACATTGCCGCAACGGATGAAGTTCCATTACCGGTGAGGTCAGTTGATTTAAATTCTCGCCGTCTTCCATCTTCGTATGTCGGTCATGCGTCTCCAGTTGGTAACTTTTCTGAGGGAGATGAAAATGATCCGACTTGGGAAATGGACGAGGAAGACGACGACGACGATGAAAATATCGCAATGGAAGTACGTCTTTTGGCGGAGGATGCTAGTGCTTCAGAAGGAGATGAAGGTGGTGAGATGGGTGCGTCTCAAATCCCAATATTCCATGAACCAGTGGTCGCGCAAATGCCGCAATTGCATGACGTTGTGTCAGCCCCATTAGGTAATCATCATGAAGTTAATTGATATAATTTGTATATACCTGGATAGATACCTGATTTAATACATGATGTAGGAAGTTTGTATTAAAAAAGTTATAATCCGCAGTTGCAGGTGACGAGGTTGTTATTCCTTTTTGGCATGGAATTCCGCATTTTTCGTACATTGATTGGAGTTATCGGAGCGAACAAGAATCATGCACTGATGGTACGGTTTCAGGATCAGGTTCAATACAAGGTCCGTTGCAACTGGGTGACAAGTTATTTGTGAATCAAGAATTTGCAACAAAAAAAGATGTCCAAATGGCACTTAAGCACAACCTGAATAGGGATCATCAAGAAGCAATTGTAATTGAGAGCACGCCTGCAAAGTTATCCATGAAATGTTGTGCGTATGATAAAGGTTGCCCGTGGCGTGTCAGGGCGATCAAACCAGTGTTTGGTGAAAATTGGAAGATTACGAGATGGGGTGGACATCACAATTGTTTGAATGAGCATATTTCCCAGGGACATAGACAGCTCGATGCGGACGTTATTGCGGATCTCGTTCTAGGTACGTATTTATTTTTGATAAATTGTCAACGTTTACATACTGCTGTTTAATTAAATTCGTTCTATTTTGTCGAGTGTGTGACCTGTTCAATGCAAGGATGATAAGGGAAGAACCATCTGTCTCAATTTCTTTGGTTCAAGAAAGGATAATCTCTAAATATGGCTTTAAAGTTTCCTACAGAAAGGCATGGTATGCGAAGCAGAAAGCGATGGCTATTATGTACGGTGATTGGGAGGAATCTTATGCTTTTTTGCCAAGGTGGTGCGAATACATGCTTCACTTTTCTCCAGGTTCATTTTATCATATCCAAACAAATTATTTGTATGCGGAGCATGGGTTAGTTACTGGAAAAAAGGTCTTTCATCGCATTTTTTGGACGTTTAGACAGTGTTGTGAGGCGTTCAAATTTGCCAAACCAGTCATACAGATTGATGGAACACATGTATATGGGAAGTACAAAGGGAAATTGTTGGTGGCCACAACCCAAGATGGTAATGATGAATGTTTACCGATCGCTTTTGCCATCGTTGAAGGTGAAACCTTGGATGCATGGGACTATTTTCTTGTTAATATCTGTGCTCATGTTACAGACATGTCAAACATATGTCTGATCTCAAATCGTCATCGTAGCATAATATCTGCTGTGGAGAATAACCCTAATTGGCTGCCACCAAAAGCATATCACGTCTTTTGTATTCGTCATATTGCAAGCAACTTCAATCAAAAGTTTCGGAATGAGGGTTTGAAGCGGGTGTTAAAGAATTTAGGTAAACTCATTCACAGATCCTTATTTATTTCTTTCCACAATGTTTCACAATTTATGTTTACGGTGATGTCCAATTTGTGCAGGCTATACTCCGGCCATGGTTGATTTTGAAATGAATCTTGCGAGCTTTCGTGAAAGTAGTCCTCAAATTGTTGAGTGGATTGATGCCATCCCTAAGGAAAAGTGGTCGCGTGCCTACGATATTGAAGGACGAAGGTACGGGTATATAACCGATCTAAGAATGAGATGCGGAGGTCACCTGAATGATGGAACTCATTGGCCTGTGGAGCCGCGCCAAAAACAGCAACACAAACAGCGGGCCAATCCTCATTTGTAGATCCGGTAACGACTTGCCCGTCAGTAGGAAATCCCAATATGCCGGCCACATTCTGTAAGGTGATAGTTATCTCACCTTGCGTCATGTGGAAGGTATGTGTCTCTGGTCTCCACCTCTCGACCAGAGCACTAATTAACGGGGCATCGATCTGAAATTAATTATACAATTATCACGTGTTAACGAATGATATTAAATAATTACATAAGTACAAAATGGCCGTAAATTGCATACCTGGAGATGTCGCATCCGGGCAACATGGATAAAGTCGGCCTGTGTAAGGTAGTGTGTGACCACCTCTGGAATAGCCCCGGTAGGTGGCCCACCCTGTGGTTTCCCACGCCGGGTCTTGAGTCTCCTCATATGCTCCGTGTAACACCCCGTGTATACTCGGAATATTAACATTACATCGTATTAAGTGGTGCTTAATTAAAAATGCGGAATATTCTTTTTCTTTTCAATTATGACGTCATTATCAATTACCAACTTGATTACTTAATCAATTTCATAAAATATCGCCTGTATGTAAATTGCAATAAGACAACTACTGAAATACCTTAATATATAGATAAAGTGTGTATCTAAATCACGGCATTACATCAAGTAATCCGGACAATATCCTGATACATTATTACAACTCCAAGAGACTCAAGGCATAAACGAGACGTAACAACACTATGTGTCATGGACAATCCCCATGCTCACCAAATAAACACATTAAACAACAAGTCTCAACATAAAACTCCAAAACATAAACTGAAGCTATAAGCATAAAAGCAGCATGCAAATCCAGCATCCAATCATGGCAGCATAATATAACAGCAATCTAACTCAGCTCCGGCCTCCTGTTGCCTGAGGTCTCAACATTACCTGACCCTGAAATAAGCATTCCCCAAACGTGGGGTGAGATCTCTAAACTAGAAATCTCAGTAAGACAAGGGGTCCTCAAGGATCTTCCACCCCAAGCTCACTTACATGTGCAATATAAGTTCAAAAAGCATTTATATCATTATCGGTTCCAAAACTATGTAGTGCAACAGATATCTATGGCATGTGTGTAATCATTATCTACTGGCCAGAGAAATGTAGGAATACGTCTATTCCCTACATGTAGTACAAGGAACACCGCTTGCACCTCACCCACAGCCTCACCCTCTTGTATGTTTTACATACTCAGGCTTACCGTATAGGTGGAACACCTCCAT